GATCCATGCCAACGAAGGCGAGATAAACGTTTGCAGCAGATGAGGAGGCATGCCAGGGATTAAGCTGAGTCACTGGACCACACCCTACAGGCTATATAAGAGAGTGTGGTGGCCATTTAGACTCTGTGACGGACAAAGCTAACTTCTGGCTAGTCACTTTGTACAACGCCTAAATCTGCTGAAGGTTTCTGTTTGAGCTGGATTGTTTTTGAAAACTGTGTGTTGGTGATTATCTGGTGGAGGAAAACTCCCTCTTCTTGAAGTAAAGCACTTGGCAGACGGTTATCGTATTGCTGCCAAGTTCCTGATAATGAACCTTGTGTGTGCCAAGTAATTCTTTAACCCCCGGCTGGCTGTTTGTGTGTGTGTGGGGATGGGGACAGAACAGGTTGCTACCAGTTTGCCCCGGATCAGGTGAACCAATAGCGGCAGTGGGAGGCTCCACCCATCTGCCCGAATACTTCTGCGCATACACAGAAGCCTGACATGCAAGCGAGCACATGCCCACAAGCAAACCGGTAGCAATGGGATTTGAAACCCACTACTGATCCATGCAATGAGTTTCCCTCTTTGACACTCTACATAAGCCAAATTTAAATTTGACAAGGAAGATAGAAATAATATTGATGCTTTTGAATTTTGATGTTAAAGAAGTACCCTGAAAATATAATAGCGAGCCAAGAAAACAAACAGATTGATTATTGAACAAATCAACATAGTTTTCTTTCAAAGCACTATTATACTTTGTCTACTACATGAAAACTTAACTCTTTTTACAGGTCTGTTATACTGGGAAAGATTGTAGAAAAGGAAAACAAGGGAACATTTACAGCAAGTAGATGAACTCAATTCCAGTAGTTATGAATATATCGTGGAAAACTTGAAGGGTGAGGACAGATCATCATGGAGAAAATTTGTCTATGAGATGCTAAGAACCACATCAACTTGGTTGTACATAATTATCATAAATCACTTCCCTATATAGGACTGGAGCCATTTGAGTAGAAGTCTTTGGGTAAATATAGTGAAATTAATCACTATTTTTTAAAGAACACACTACTACCAAGTCAAGTCAGTTTATTTCTATATGACATTTTTCATAAAACTAAAATTTTCTGAGTAACATTCTGCAACTGATATTCTGGAAAATGCCACTTCTCTACAAACATTGACAGAATTAATATTATGGCCATTTGGAATAAGTTTTTACATTTCCCAAAATTTAGATATTAAAAAACCTTGGTAAATGCATTGTTTAAATAGTCTCAATATAATACACACTTATGCAGAAATAAGATCACTGACTGCATTCAATGGGGGAATGCCAGTAGTCATGCATAAAAATGTGTTAAAGGTTTTGCTTCACTGATCTGAGCTGATCCATTAAAATGTGTATGAATTATCTCCAGTGAAATAATATGCTGCAGAGTAGGCTCAAACCTTTTGCGAGTTTAGTAAAATTCTGCATCATGCAATGCATGAGTTTGAATAGCAGTAATAATAAACTGTTTTCCGAAAAGAAAATGGACTAGGGAACTGCAGTTGCTACAGAACTTTCAATTTAAGTTCTTCCAGAACATTTGCCTCTCAGAAAGAAAAACAATGAAAATGGTAAACGTTGCAGTTAAATAATCTATTATATTCAAGAAATTGAATAGCAGGAACATAGTATATTTCACAAATGCATTGGAGGGTACCTCAACTGTTAGGTTATTACAGCCAACAATTCACCTTTTAAAAGTGGCCCTTTTCAACAAATCGTTATTTTTATTAAAGCTAAATAAATTCATAAAGCATAAAACCTAAATACTATATAACTTTGTTCCTTAAGAAAATGTTCAGTTTAGATATAGATACCAATTCTTTATTATTATTTTTCTATTATTCAGCAACTAGCATATAATTTGTGAGGAAAGTGTAACATCAAAAATTGTGTGATTTTGGTATCATGTCTGTAGTGGACTTTCCAAGACCTATTTTTTAATATTTTCTTTTCAGTCCAGTAATTCTTCTCCAAAACTATGAATAAGAATCCTCTATAGGATATTTAATGAATTGCACACATTTTGCAAATAGTGTTGCTTGCATAATTATAGATGTTGAGAATTTACATAGCTCTGAGAAAACTAACAAAACCAATAGTTTATACATTTTCAAAAATAAAAAAACACCTTCAGCTTCAAATATAAAAATTAGAGGAGGAGGAGAAGGTGGAGGAGGAGAGGATGATTAACCAGTTAGCATTCCATGTGACTATTTGCTCTTTTAAATTTGTTCAAAATAGTGTCTCACCTCAACGCAAGTAATATAGAAGATAATTAAGTTTAAACAAGATAGTTTTCAAGTTCAATATGTTCATGCTTAAGCTTAGCTCTATTTTCTCCCAAGGAAAGAGAAAATGTTCCAATGCCACATTAATATTAATACTGGATGCAGGAAAATTTGTTACCTCGTAAGGATATATCACTTTATGAACAATTTTGCAGTTCATTTCTATCTTAGTTGATTCTTAGTGAAATTGTAACAGAAAAAAAAGACACCACCTTTTCTACCCATATACTATGATCTTCAGGCAACAAATCTAATAAGCTTCTGGTTCTCTTACAATGCAAAATATTACTATAAAAATAATTTTGCAACTGAATCACTGAGGTTTTGTGACAATTGTTCTCATGAAAAGAATTGCCATCTTTTTCTGTCTCCTTCTCAGGATTCTCAACGAACTTCATTGTCTTCACACATTGGATAAAACTGAGCTTATCCAATCTTTTACATTGGATAAATCTGAGTAGTTGAAAGCTTATATGGAATTAGTTTATATGGAATTCTGAGAATTTCCAAGACAATGGGTCTTATGAAAACTGTAAATCATTTTCAAAATGGGACAATTTGGGAAGCAAAAATGGTGGCTATAGGAAAGCACCCAAAACCAGAGGGCAATGTTAATTGGTCCAGAAAGTATTCTGTTTTCAAAAACTACTAAGTTAGCGATAGAGCTATTTGTCATTATAATTCCAATATGATTTGCTTTGAAAATTGCAAATTTTGCAAATATAGGTCTTATACACCGACCTATATTGAAAATTTATAAGTATATTAAATTGAACATTTATAAGTATATTAAATTTAACTATAGCGCTTATTTACTTTGCCCTTTCTTTTGCTTTTTCTTCTTTATGCATGTGATCATATGACTCTAACAGAAGCCACAATTACATTATACAATTTGAAAATCAGATTTCAAGATTTCACGCTGCTTCTTTCAGAGTCAAGATGCAGTTATGCAGAACTTCAGTGCACACAAGGGGGAAAAACTCCTCCAAATACTGAATAATAGCTTCCAGCCTATTTTATCATTGGCCATATTGGCTAGATGTTGTGAGTTTGTTAATGTTCTCTTATTAAATAAAACAAATTAAAAGTTTCATACCATGATCCAATATACTTGAAGGCAAAACTCAGAAAACATAATTTTAAAAGTACAACTCTACAGTGCTGTTCATTTTTTCCTACAAAACCTAGGCTAAACAAAATGACATCTCCAGTTGTTACAAAATACTCAGGCAACTACTTATTCACATCACTTCCCTATTCATAAATATTATAACCATACCATTTTATCCTTCTGTTTGTTGCAACACTAAAAGCTATCAGAGAATACATGCATGGCATAAATAAAACTAATATTTAAAAATCAAACTGACTCTGAAATTCTTAGTCATTAACAACAGTAATAATCAATTAAGGCATAATGATCAGAAACAGATTTATCACCCAGAAAAATGAAATAACAATTTACCGTATTTTTCGGGGTATAAGACCTACTTTCCCCCTGCCCCAAAAGTGGGTGGAAATGTCTGTGCATGTTATAGAGCGAATGTTGCCGAAGCCCCCACCCCCACCCACCATCCTTTGGCTTCTGCATCCCAGCAGTTTGCCTCCTTACAGCAAACAGCAAACAGCCTGGTCAGCTTCAACACAACCTGATTTAGCATGAGCAGCGGATTGATGGTTGAATCTGCCTCTCAGAATACCACCTACCAGCTGTTCCAGGCTGCAGGGATCACCACTACCTATCGCCGCCATCGCCGCCCATCACTGCTGCCACCTATCACCACCTCCATGCACCCCATTTTTGGCACTGCACATCCCATTTTTGGCCTCTGTGCACCCCATTTTCAGCCTCTGCGCACCCAGTGGTGGGATGCTGCCGGTTTAACAACCAGTTCGGTGATAGCGCACGTGCACAGTTTTACAAACACTAACCTTCTGTGTTACCACTTGGGAGTAACACACTGAGGCACGGCAGTCTGCTCTGCTGTGCCAATCAGATGAGAAGATAAAGGTAAGTATAGCACAAGGGCAGGTTGGACGGGCCTACCTGATTGTTGGAGCGAACCAGTTCACTCCCAGCTGATCCGTCAGAGCTACTGGTTCACCCAAACTGGTCTGAACTGGTAGAATCCCACTCCTGTGCGCACCCCATTTTTGGCCCATTCCAGGCGACAGGGATAGGCAGCAGCTAAAAATGGGGTACCTGGAGGAAGCTATAGGCGGCAGCGGCAATGGGAAGTGACCGCAGTGATGGGTGGTGGCGATCCCGTAGCTTGGAACAGGTGATAGGCGGTATTCTGGGAGGCAGATCCAACTGCCAATCAGCTGCTCGTGCTAAATCAGGCTGTGCTGAAGCTGACCAGGCTGTTTGCTGTTTGCTGCAAGGAGGCAAATTGCTGGGAGGCAGAGGCAGAGGGGTTTTTTTCTTGTTTTCCTCCCCAAAAGCTAGGTGCGTCCGGACTGTCTTTTAGTCCGGACCATCTTATAGTCTGAAAAATACGGTATGTAGCAAATCTAACCAAAAATTATCCCATCAAAAGTTAAACATTTGGAAAATCTTAATATATGTATGATAAAAGAGTTATGAAGAAAATAAATTAATGGTTTGAAATTTAAATCTGCTGAATATTGTAACTACATTAGTTTTATTATATTCATTATCTTACCTTGAGCTTGTCCATTGCCATAGTCGCTCCACAGCATTAGAGCTGCCATTAAAATCCAAAGCATCCAACCAGCTACTCTGAATAGCCACTGTTCTTCACCCATTGCATTATCACACTACATAAAGAAAGGGAGAAACAATAATTTTTAAATATACATCTATGGAATGATTATAAATCTAAAATATTACTGATATTATTATTTAGACAAAAGGCAGAATCAGTGAAAAATAAAGGATAATGAGAAATTTCAAAAATGGAAAGGCCCTTTGTTGTTAGTATCAAGACTCAAGTCTGGGGGGAAAATGACATGAAAGAAAATTGATGAAATGTTGAAATCAAAGTGGTGGATTGCTGGAAGTAATATTTTAGAGATTGGAATAATTATGTTTAGTAATGAATGTTGTAAGCTTATTTATTTTACTCAGCTTATATGCCATTTCAAATGCAATTTACAAAATGGCTAACAATCCTTCTATACACAAACAAAAACATCAAAAATAGTCAACAGTAAAGAACACCATAAAAATGTCTATGCCACAGAATGTCGACTCTAGATGAATGTTCATTAAAAACTGACAAAAGGATGAACAAACTTTAAGATTTAGAAAGACTGGAAGAACAATATCCTGTAGCATGTGGTTTGTTGCAAGGAAAGAATATCTATTGAAAGAAGCAATGATTATTATGTAGAAGTTTCCACCCAGTTATATAGAAATGAGGGTTTTGTATGTCACTAAAAAAATGAAATTGAATACAGTGAAGATAGGTTGCATATACAAGAGAAAATAGGATCAAGAATTAATCTGGATTGAATACAAAAATGAATGACCAGTACAAAAGAAATACATCGATCTGGTTTAGTTATATAGAGAGAAGCTTCAAAATCCTTGGGACCGTAGTCTGAAGAGCCACCAGTTAGGCTAAAATTTCTTAATAGCAAACAATATTCAAGATCAGGAAATAAATATATCCCATGTTCCAGCATGCAACATTCATCTAATTTTTATAAGCAGTTTCAACATTCAGTTGAAAAATATAGTACATTTTACATATCACAGACTGTACTGTTTTAATTTATATTGTTTCTAACAATGACATTGAATTAAGGCTGATAAGTTTTTTTAAAAAAGATATGATATCAGAAAAAGCATAAATTCATTAATTTCTGTTAGAAATTTTTATTAGAAGGAATATAAGCAGACAGATGGTGCTCAATTAGTTATTTACCTACGCTGAGATTTTAATGAATGCAAGTATGGATAATTTTCCATTTTTTTCTTACCCACTGAAAGCTGATATTTTATAATTGCCAAATTGCTATCTCTACATCATTGCCAGTTTTCTATAAATATCAAAACCACAAACTCATTAAAATTAATTATTAAACTATATTATATACACTGTTTCATTTTTGTTAAACATATTTTTCATTTGGGAATCTAAATGAGCTGACATAGCTTTTTAAAGCTTCATTTGCTTGCTGGTGTAGCCAAATAAAATATATCTATATTGTTTCTCTCTTACATTCTGTATACCTCTTTCACTGAGACAAAATGTTTGAAAAATCAAACAAATTCTTATAACTGGATTATGAATAAAATTCTTTATATTTATTTCCAATAACTCCAGCTCTAACAATATTTTATCACCTGCACAAATTACTGGAAAGTCTGTGCAAAAAAAAGTAGTATAAAAATATTTTCCTTGCTGCATCACTAGAGTATGTCTTCAGATGCATTCCTGCCTACATTCATTGGAACTCATTTTTCATCACTCTAGGCAACATGTCACTCACTTCATTGCATCTGGCTTTCTTGAAAAGCCAAGGATATAATTTTACTCACTGAATGAAATAAGGGACATCCAGGACTAATTATATCAATATTGCCTTGAATTACTCTACAAATCAACCCAGACTTTGACGAAATTGTCTATTAGTGTGACTGGAAACAATCAAGAACACTTATAAAATTATTCAGATTTTTTTTTCCTTGAAAATATTAGTATCCAATCCTACAGAGGCTTAAAACCTTGTAACTTGGTAACACATCAGGTCACAACAAAATCACTGCAATCTTTTCACCAAAATCTAGTCCTTTCTTCATAGAATGTTAATTACCACAGTTCCCAGGAATACTACTGCTGTTGCCTATGTCCATCTGCTTCACTATTCATTTAGAGTGATCCAAGCCCAGATACACTGCTGTATAATGCAATTGTATATATTTTTGTTCAGAGGTAAATCCTATTCAAATTAAGGTTTGCTCCTTTATAAAAAGATCTGCAAAGTTTCAGCCATTACAATCACAATCACAACATGACTATGTCATAGTGAACACAGTGACATGATAACCATTTGCAACTTTCCTTTGCTAACTTCCCACAAGCAGTGGGAAAGTCAGCAGCAAAGATCACATTTCTTGTAAGTTTCTCCCACTGCTTTTTTTTTTTCTTGTAGAGCCAGACTACAGTGTATGAGATCCCAGGGATCTTGTACTCTGTAACATTCCTCTGCTTGCCTGTACCATCTGGTTTTTTATCAGACTTAGAAGAACTAATAAGAACTATATTGATTGCCAGTGAGCTTCAAGGCTTAGTTCAAGATGGTGGCTGTTATTGGTAAAGCTATATAAAATTTTCTTGCTAGCTTCAGGACTCAAATACTTTGGCCACCTAATGAGAAGGAAGGATTCACTGGAGAAGAGCCTAATGCTGGGATCGATTGAGGGCAAAAGAAGAAGGTGAGAGCAGAGAATGAGGTAGCTGGATGGAGTCACTAAAGCAGTTGGTGTGAGCCTAAATGGACTCCGGGGGATGGTAGGGGATAGGAAAGCCTGGAGGAATGTTATCCATGGGGTCATGATGGGTTGGACAAGACTTTGCAACCAACAGCAACAAGAAGCTTCAGGACTATTTCCTTCTGATGGAATCTGCCCACCCTACATAAACTGACCAGTACAGGATACCATCAATACTTATCCTAGAGTTATCATTAGGATGGAAGTGCTCTTTTATGTGGCAATCTCCTAACTGTGGAATAGGTTAATCTTTAGGTTAAAACAGTTCCCAGACTTTTATTCTTTTGGAATCAGATGAAGAGAAGACATTCTTTTTCTACAAAGCCTTGGGGAGTAAGTTTGGAAGACAACAGCATTTTGTTTATGATTTTAAGAGATTTGTAGTATTTTTAGCTTTAATATATTATTGAGTGCCTTCTAGAATTGCCATAGTAGATTGCATAGAAATAGTTGTAATCAATAAAATCCAAGAATAAAATCAACAGATATAATATGGGAAAAGCCTCCCAGCTCTTCTTCTTTCCCTCAGTAACTTTTGTCAAACCATCCCCCAACAATCATCATCATCAGTTCATTTTGCATGAAGTGCATAGAGCAGCAAGCTTCTTCCATGAATCCTATCCGTGATAGCGTCTTTGGTATCTTTCCATTTAATGTCCACTGTCTTCGAACAATGGCAGAACAAATATGACATGGGCTCATCTAGAATTACCACTCAGCAGCAATAGAAACACAGCTCTTATAAATTGCAATGCTTGCTAAAAAATAGTAATGCAATAAAGAAAAAAGAGCCTGCAGACTTCCAGCTTCAGTTTTCCAAACAATCTAACCATGGGATTTTCATCCATTATCCAACCTAATTTTTAGCTAATTCATCTGCTCTAATCAAGTAACCAAAAGTTCATTGTTTAATTACAGATCAAGTCCTATTAATAATCTAACTTCCTCACAGAGTTTGGATATAGATGTGGGAAAAACAAGAGTCATTCCCAAATGTTGGCCCCATTGTGTTGTAGTTAAGCTCCATTGTCAGCTCCTGAAATCTATTGGCCTTATTTATTTATTGCTTTCTGTCCTTGGTAACTTTCTGTGTTTGGTAATTTACACTATCTGACAAGAATTAAATGGTCAGCAGTGATATAGGTTAGATCAATAGGGATAAGCAATAACATACATAAAAGATGTAAGCCTACCAAAGAAACTATACCCAAAAGACACAAATGCTTGAACCATCATGTTTTCTTATATGACAGGAAAGTTGTGCTGAGAACATAGTATAAACAATCCTTTATGCCTTGCCACCACTTTCAGTCTATCTGTACATCTTCTAAGAAAAAAGGTATACATGCATATTTGGTCCCTAATAGCTGGCTTTTGTGTATATGTGTGCATGGATGGATATATGTATAAATAGAGAAACCTGTGAGGAAAACATATTTAAATTAGAAGTATGCAACAGCAGTAAATGTTATTCACTATTGGAAAGACAGAGCTACTCTAGATGTAAAGACTTGTATCAGAAATATATACTTAGTTTCAATTTCAGAACTGCATCTTTATCATTGTAAAGGAAGAACTGATGTACATTGTTTTATATTGGTTTATGTTTAATGGTTTATTTAAGAATAGGTGTATATTTTTGTATGAAAAATAATGCACTTTTCTTTTAGTCCTCCCTTTTCCGTATACAAAAGCAAAATTAAATTTAAATACAGACATGTAAAGCTGTTATAAGAATGCTTGCTAGAAATTTCCTGAAAAAATTAAAATCACAACTACTTTTTGTCTTGGGACGCAAGACACAGGATGCATCCATTTCAGGTAGTACTGACCTGTCTACTTTGTTTCAGTTGAAGCAAATCCATTATGTGATTTCCATCAAAGGATGGAAAACAGATTACATTGTTTTTAGGGATATATACCTCTGCATTACAGAATACATTATCTCAAAAGAGCCAGAAGGAATCTCCCTTATATTTTCTCAGAGAGCATTTGAACAAAGCTTATATTTGTTGAAGAATGAAGTTGCTTATTCATCTCTGGAGTTTTGAGGTGGGAGTTATTTTATGGCTTTATAGATTTCATATTGAACCTTTGTCAAGTGACAGGAGTCTTTGTGAATTGACAGTACAGAAGTATATAAAGAATGCCATAGAATAACATCATAAAACACAGCATGTTTAACGACTGATAAAAAAGGCTGACTGAAGCAATTTTTATTAGATATTGATGTGATGAGTGAACTTTTCACACTATATTGAAGGAATTTACAGACCTTTAACTCACCCACAGTACTTCATACATGCATATACTGAGGATTCACTATCTTTCACATACATGTCATAATTTCCTTTGCACCAAGTAAACATAGTGAACATTTATTTATTTATTTGATTTCAACTGCCTAGACTAGTTCCTGCAGTTTTTTTGCAAGGACTTTCAGAAATAGCTTGCCATTGCCTTCTTCCCAGAACTGAGAGAGAGAGTAACAGCCCAAGGTTGACTTTGTGCCTAAGAAGTAGAACTCAGGGTCACCTGATTTCTAGTACCTTAACTATTTGCCTTCTTTTATATCATTGCTCATTTTGTAACTTCTCTTTCCCTTTCAGTATGGTTAAGGCTTTTGTGTTTCTTTTGTTCATTCTACTTCTCAGCAATAAAATCCCATGTGGACTCTATTTAGCCTGATGGTACCTAAACTGAAGAAATAAATATCTAAATGAAGGTTTACATTCCAAAGTGAAAACCAAAATGTCACTAATTAATTACAATTTGGTAGATTATTCTTTAATTAGCATTTCTGATTCATAAGAATTATAACCAACCCAAGTGATTAAGAGAATCTTCAGAATCAACATATTTTATATACGGAATGGATACTTCATTCATGCAATTGTACAAATACAGCCATGATAAAATCAGTACTATAGATTAAATGCAGCAGTAACAGAGAGAAGGCCAAAATCAACTCTTCCATTACTGGAGTCTAAACATTTGCCAAAAACCATGATGAGTCTTGATTATTCAAAGTCAACATTTAGGTCCTTACTTACTAATGGAAATCAACTGAATAAAACCCTAAAACAATTGATCACAGAGAACATTCCTTAATGCTGTGCACTGTTTACTGGAAACTCAAAAGGTCTAATCCCAAACAAATAGGCTGAACCCTCAGAATTATAGGGATGATAATGAAAGATTATCTGTTATGAGTACAATAAGCTTTAAAGAATTATGTTCACGGAGCAAAGATTTATAACCTCCACTGAATATACAGTTGGCACATATTTAACAGACAAAATCTATGTTGTAATTGATATTTCTTTCCCCTCACCTTCTATTAGTAGTAAATCTGTGCAATACCATTGCTTGGCATTATCCATAACCATGTAAAACACAGCCCAGCAGAGAGTTACTGTAAGCCTATTTGTTTCAGTGAGGCAAAACATACCGGACTGTAGTCCAATATATAAAATAAACTTATTAACAGCTTAATTAAAAGCTTGTTCCAAAAATTTTATGTCATTCATGCTCAAGAAATCTGTTTTCAACTGAGCAATACAATTCATTTTTGCAGCAAATAAGGGCTTAAAAACATGTATTGGATGTTTTAATTTTGTCATACATTTTTACTTAATAACACAGTAACATGAATCCTTAAATCAGCTGTGAAAAGAATCTAAGCCAGTTTTCTCCACTACTCACTCCTTCAAAAGTGTTAGGCTACAAACCTTCAGCATAACCATTTTGTAAGCTTTTGGAACTGAAACAAATATCGTACAAACAAAACCTTCCCTTTTGCTTTCTGCATTGAATTACACTTTCGTATGTTCACTCTTATCTTTGGGAAAGGCTGTCATGTTTTGAAAGTTTTAGAAAGCTAGGAAACACATATAAAAGCAGAAAATGTATCTCATTGCACCACCAATTGGTAATTCACTTTCCAGTGACTCATTCCCCCATTAATAATGCCAGCTTCCCTCTCTGTGTTTTTAAACACAGCCATGCCTCTTCTGCTTTCTCCTGCCACAACAACCCTGTGGGGCTTTATTATCAGTGCCTGCAGAAAGAAATTAATTCAAAAACAGATAAGGCAGGAAAGTGAGGATCCACAGCCTTCTTCCCCCACTCTACCCACAGGAAAAAGTTCTTTGCCTTCTCCGAGGAATGAAAAGCAAAGGATTAACAAACAAAAGACTTTTCCTTCATCTTCCTAGTTGGTAGAGTTAAGTTAGTCTAAATGCCATTTTACTATCTTTCCTTTAAATCGTGCCTTGGACTGCTCAAACGCATCCCTGCATTAAAATACTTTTCCGCAGCCCCACACTTCTCTTTTCAAGCTTCAAAGGGGAGCCAGGCGCCAGTCAGCCTTCCCTCCTTCCGACAAACTGACCTTGCACCCCAATCTTCGTTCCCAGCTCTTGAGTTTACCTCAGCTTGTTTTTCGCCTGCCAGTTCCCTTCCCGATCAGAATTGGCCACGGCTGCTGAGAAAAGTGCAGTCCAGCAGTCGGCGAAAAAACAGCAGCAGCCGTCGCTGGTTGTCTTAATTCAGCCTCCACCTGCGGGGAGGAGCTGCAGCGAAGCCGCCGTCGCAGCCTCACCAAGCCCAGCCTGACTTCACTCACGCAGCCTATCGGACCCACCAGAATGGTTTGAATGATCCTTTCCACCTCTCCATCACCTCCGACCAAGACTGAATTTGGAAAGGCTTGAAAAGGCTCAACGGCTTTTTCCAAAAAGTCCAAAGAGAACTTACCGGCACAAGAGGTGGCTTTTCAAAGAAAGAGGGCAGGGCAGAAGTTTGACTGTTAAGATTCTCCAAGTATAGGGAGCCCTATGTATCCACACACGCCCCCCCCCAAAAAAAAGCCCTTCCCCAGAAAAGACTGAGTCTGATCACGTTTATCTATAATACTAATAAAAGAGTGGGAGAGTTTACTCCAGGCAGCTATCATGGCACTTGGAGCTTGTGCCTCTTTGAATCTTGCAGTACATGGAGACTTCATGAACTTTTGAAGTTATTGCAATTTTTAAAGGGAGCGGGAGGAGAATCCAGGTACATCCCGCCTCCCCCCCTCCCGTTTTATTTCCTAATAGCCATTTCTCCTCCTTCCTGGTCTTTTGGATTATAGCCTTCCTCAAACTGTTGCTCTCAGGTATGTTGGATATTGATCAATATATAATCAATAACCATCTTAAATTATGGGAAATGCCCAAAATATCTGGAGGGTAAGCTAGACTAGATGTGTTATGTTAAAATGCCCTATTCTATTGTCTCAGCATCCTCACAGTGGACTTTTCTACCCCTTCACCTAATTTTCTGGAATCGCCCTTCCTGAAACTTTTTGGGCAGCAGGATCTGAATTCTTCTCAAATTCCTTGATGGCCAATAAGATGCCAGTCAGGTCATGTTATTTTAGTTCACAGAACTATAACATTACTCACCATAGAGCTGAACAATAGAGTGCTAACAGGTGGGGGGTGGATTTAGCAATGTTTACAAAGTATACCATTTGTGAGCAGTGTGGTCTACATTTCAGTCACTGTAATTGCATGGAACTGATTATAATTTCCGCAAACCTAAGAGAATTTTTTTTTTTGTTCTTAGATGTTTTCTCTTTTTTAATCTTATTCCAGTGCTTTGGAATAAGCAAAAAAAATCAGTAACTTTCATGAGCTTTGAAAAATTCATATGCAGCTGCTTCTGAGAAAGAATCAGATCTAAGAACTATGAAAACTGATTCAACCGATGTCTTGAAAATTCTCTTGATACATGATTTATCCATTAAAGACATACTTTTAAGAAATGTTTCATCTTTGGATAATTGGTTCAGAGCAGCTGGAATTTGCTATGTCTAGGCACAACTGGAATAAGGTGGTCTTGCAAAACTTTCTGAAAGGGTTGAGCAGGTGGGCTGCAGTGTTTATGGATTAGATTTTATTGAATTGTCAATGTTTGCTCAGGCCTGAAGCATGACACCTTTTCCACTAACAAAGCCATTGTATTTTGTAAATATACTATGAAGAAAGAATACACAGTAACAAAATTCTAATAATCTATGGGAAAAAAGCTCTGCAAAATGCATTAAAGCAAGATCATTTATTAGGAAACTTTAATGGAATGTTTCAATCAACTTTATTCCATATTAAGAAACTTAAGATGCTAATTAGGACTTACTAAGAAGTAATAGAAAGAAAATAGAAGTAAGTTATCTCAACAAAAGTATATCTGTGGTAGTTTATTGTCAAAATGTGTTGCTCCACAGCAACTGATGGAGGAAATATACATCTACTTAGAACAGTGTACAATATTTTAATATATCAGTTTATATCAGTTTTAGATACTGTATATATAGAAAATTTCCCTTTCTAATGCATATGAACTTCAAAAACTGCAACAAATGTTCTTTGGTGATATCTTTCAATGTATGTTCAATATATGCAAATACCATTATCAGTATGAGTTGTTTTTGTTTTTAATCAAATAAGAAAAGCTGAAAACATTTCAGTACCATGGACAACAATAATTGGATTGGGAAGGAAAAGCAAGATAAATCATCAGAGCAGTGAGAAAGAAAACATTTCAGCTCTTGAAATATAATCACATGTGGATGCATTAAAACAGAAGAATTGTTTGTTGTTAATAGAACCTATAAAAATTGTGCAGCTGGACTTCAGATGTCAAAGTTCATTTTCCACATACAAGCAAACAGCTATAAATGTATTTGACTAGCAATATTTATTTATTTATTTATTATTCATATAGACTCCCATTCACACAAAATGTTCATTTTATTTTATTTTTATTGTCCCTTGTTCACACCATCAACACAGCATCCATGGTTTTCTTCCCTTTATACCATTTTATCTTCACAACAAACCTATATAGTAATAAAATTTAAGAAAGAGAAAATTATTGAGTGAACATCATGGTTACTCAAGAGCTCTGAATCCAGATCTCTCTGGTTCTTCTATAGCATTCCAGATATTAATACACTATATAGTGTCTTAATATGAGTCATAATAATTTTATATCTAGATTTATTAATATAGCAAACAAATCTATGGGATTATTCCCCCTATATTTGAAAGCAAAAGATTAAGATATGTATTTTAAGCTTCTTGATTGATTGATTGATTGGTTGATTGGATTTTTAAAGTTTCCCAACTCCAAAAAAATTCTGGTTGGCTTACATTATTTTAAACATACTTTTTGTTTCTTTTTTCTTATACATAATTTTATATATAATTTAAAAACAGTTGAAATGTTTGCACCACTATTATACATGTAGTCGGGATACATGTATAATACTCCCTCCTACAAGAAACACCTAGAGAACATGGTGGCAAAAATCAATACTAGGAACAACATACTCCAGAAATTATGTGGAACTAAATGGGGAGTGTCAGCTGCCACCCTCAGGTCATCAACCCTAAGGTTTATCTAGTCTGCAGCAGAATACTGTGCCCCTATATGGCTTAGCAGACTTAACACTATGAGGATTATAAGCGAGTGTATTAAAATCAGTTTGCTGGCTTGCTGTTCTGAACTATATAGCACTGCTGGCTTTATGAAGGCAAGATGCATTAGTGAGAGAATACAGAAAAAAATATCAACAACTCATTCCTACCGGGGCATGCCAACCTTCCTCATTTATAAGCAGGAAGACTCAAACCCAGGAAGCCTACACTGACACTTGCACAATATCTCTCCATCAACTTTAACATCAATTCCCAATGGAAAGCCAAAGGGTCACTGAACACCCAGTTATAGAGGACATATAAATGACTCCATAAAAATGGTGCCAGGCTTTGAACTATCATGTCAGCAATGGACAATCTTGAATAGGATTGCACCTCACGTATCTGTTGGGACTCTCTGTATAAGTGGGGCATAATATCCTCCCCTCAGTGTAACTGAGAGGGTCCCATGTCAAAGTGTAGATCACATCGCAACCAACCGTAAGCTGAAAGCATATACCAGTCCTGTATCTGGGATTTTTAATATAAACAATACTGCACTTCAATTGTTAGATGGCTTAGACACTGATATTTGAACATACATATTTTTGACATTTATATTTTATTGGATTTATTGCCATCATTGTGGTAATAAACAGATATAATAGAAATAGGTGCCATTTGATTTGGGCAGGTAAGTAACATCACTCTTCATAATGGAAAAGTTAAAAATAAACATAAGCTATGATATTCAACCTTCTATCTGCTACTAAAACTCATGTTTGAAATAATTTAACCATGGGAGCCAAATCATTTTTTTCAACCAAGTTGCTTCAAACAGATTAACAGAATGTATACAAAATCTGGGACCCAGGGCTCCCATGGAATTGAAATTTAGCAAATTTTATAACATGTTTTATGACATAAAAACTATCATAAAGCATTTGATGGCAAAATACAAAATGTCACAAAACATTTCTTGTAATCACTCCTGATGTTAAACTGTACTATATAATTCAATGTGGGTTACATTCGATGAAGATACTTGCTGAATATCTCCTTAAATTTTCAAGAACATTGTTGAAAGCATTGAGGAATCTGGTAAGGAAATATTGCTGAAACAATGACCCAGGAGATCATGGGTTGTCTAGTAACTTCTTATTTTGATCCCTGAATAGAACTTATTAGAATATGATGAAAGTTCAAACAGGAATATTTGGTTTTACAATAACATGATACAATTTCTCATATTGTAAGAAAGTATATGGCCTTTAAAATAATTTGAATGGCAAAATGTTAAATCAATATTTACCCAACTGGTTGGTCTGATGAGCTTGATGAACTTAATAAAAGAAGCAAGCATTTATAGCTCCTCTTTAGTTTTCTGCAATTAAAAATAACAGATTAACAAATGTAACACTCTTGTAAATGTCCAAAACATAGGCCATTGAGAACACTATTCCCCCTTTGGGGGTGGGGGTGGGATGGTTGTGTGCCCAAACCTATTTTTCATTTGAATTGCATATATGGAAAGGATTTTGATGATGTCAAACATTTTTTGTAATGCTGTCTTTTGATCTTTCATAATTTAACTCTTATTAATTCATGATCTGAAATGCTGTCAGCATCTGAATATGTTTTGACATTGAGGACTGTATTGGTCAATTGTTGGCTGCAAAGGACACAGTCTATTTGATTACGGTGCAGTTTATTTGGTGAGGTTCAGGCGTATAAGCAATGTTTGTGCTGTTTGAACCAGGTATTCATAGTTTTATATCGATTACTATATAAAATTTTGCTAGAAGAGCTAAAGAAAATTATTAAAGTCACAGTGATGCAGACAAGTGACATACATATATAAAATGTACTACAACTTCAGATTCTGAACACCTACAAAATTCTTTATCACCCTGCCTTGATCACCAGCCAAGGTGAGAGACCCCATACCTTCTAGATCAGTAAATCTATGCTCTAAACATGCATGATCCATAAAATTATTTATATTAGTCATCTACTTTTAATTTAACGAATCAAGAGTAGTATTCAGTTACACTGACTGATGAGTCATTGCCTGCTGATTTAAACAGTTTTGTATTACTATAATTATTTTATGAAATGGAACTAATACCAATATTACATTTCTATTTCATACTGTGTAAGATTAAGCCACAAAGAATTTGGGGAAATTTAATTTATCAGAGGCATAAAAAAACATAGATTTAATCATCCTCCTGCAAACATAATCCAGATGTCAGAAATAATAATCTGATTTTTTAAAAAAAAGCCAAGACAAGCTCTTGAATGTGAACACCTTGTTAAGCATATCACATTTTTATATAAAGTCAAATTTAAAAAGTAAAGTTTATTTTCTTTTATGATTGAGCACTATGAGATACAGTGCACTTTATTCAATATTTAATTTTAATGTTTGGACCCTGTACCTTATATGCTGTACTCATCTATCACATGAAGGCATAAGTAACTATGACAAACACAGCTGTTCTCTGATGGCCAAAGTATTTCACAATGCTGTGAAAGTACTATCTTTTCTGAACAGGGAGATTGTTTCATATGGTTGAATTAATGGTCAAGCTTTCTTGCTTCAATTTATGTGACTTTTTGGGTGATCTTCTAGGCTGGATTTATGTTCATTACTTCTGTGACATCTACCCTGCTTAGATTATAGCCTACAGGGGAAAAAAAGTTTTAATCTATGTTAATGTTATTTTCATCTAGGTAATATGCATTCATTGGATCATTGTCAAGAAATATAGAGGATCAGCACAGGATATTCCCAGTAATTAAAACAGATTTTCTTTCAAGCTTTCATCAGCTTCTTACAATTCACAGTTAAGACTGAATTTCTTTCGCCCATAAGATGGGTACCTCTCCTTTGCAATTAGTTAATGGATGCTTTCTTTCTCTTTCCTGATCCTACTTTTTTCTCCTTGACCTTTCTATAGTGCTTCAATTTGATTAGACATGGCCATATGACTCTCAGCTAAGTAAATTTGCAGTATGGTTTAAAATATTTGAGTAAAAAGCATGCATGCATTTGTTTTATTTTTGATGTTGAAGGAATTTTAATTGCCTAATGTAATTATATAATCTTATTTGGAACACATAAAAAGGAAGAATATATCCAAAACCATTGTTTCATTTTTCTCCAAAAGTCATTGCCTATGAACAATTAAAGGTAAGCCTCATCAATTTCACCAATTTCTAGTATAACATATTGTTATAGTACACTAGTTAAGAGAATAACCTCATGAATTTGATATACTTGGCTCCAAGTTTATACTGCATTAAAAGCTAGACTTAGTTTTATTGTTTTTGTTCATTTGAGCCAATATTATAGGCCTTTTACAGTATCAGTAGATCAATAACATAAAATAGCATGCATCAAAATCTCAGTAGTAAGTAATCTATCTACAGATTTTGGCTGAATTCATACATCATATTAATTCATAACATTTTGATGGGAAATTAACCTAATAAATATCTTAAGTCAACAATTGTGTTTTGAAATTCATGATTTATGATTCAATTTTGTGAGAATAGGCTACTATGAATTATTCAGCCAATAAGGCAAGAACAATAATGGGAACCCAGCCAAAGCTCTTATGCCACTTTATGCCAGCCTTCCCCAACCCAATATCCTTTAAATATAAAGCTTTATAGTTCACTGAGATTATTATACAATGTTTATGCTGTGCATCAGATTGGCAAAGATTTTTAAAGGCTTTCATATATACAGTGTATATAGACTATGCACTTAACACCTGAAAACAATTGGGAATAAAATCTTCTATTTTAATTGCCCTAATGGCATATTTTGGTTGATCACACAGTCAACCAGATGTTAAGACTGGATTTGGCATTTTTATCTGCCTATCAAATTCTTCCCAAGGACTTGGGAAAGGGAGATGTTATTTGATGTGCTAAATGTATTATCACAGGAGGTAAGCTGTTCCAAGTAAAATGACCTTTTGCAAAATCTGATGGTGATTTTGTCAGTGCCAATGGTATTCAAGTTGTTTTGGGATTGCACCCAAAGTGCCTACTATTGGTACTATCTTTGCTTTTTTTGCCACGGTCGTTCTAGTCCTATTTGTAGTTCTTTGTATTTTGTGATGTTCTCTAGTTCTTTCTCTTCTGTGGTGCTTTCTTCAGGTACTACAATTTCCACTACCCTGATTTTTTTGTCTTTCTTGTCAATTGTTAAGACTGTAATTGTTAAGACTATAATGTTATGGCACGTGCTTGTCAGTTTGAATTTTAAATTCTTAGAGAATGTAATGAAGTTGCTTCATTTTATATTACTTCACTTTATATTTGTTATTACACGTTATATTACTTCTATTGTCTCCTTAAAAGTTTCCTCTCTTGATATTAACCTCCCCCAATCTATTATTGATCAGCAAGTGTGTCTTCCATTGCACCAATCTTTACACAAAGCTTCTAATGTTTCTATTGACTCATGCTCTTTCTAGGAATTTGATTATCCAATCATGTGGCAGGAAATCAAATGCCTTGTAATCAGTCCAAGCTACATTCAAGTTGGTCTTTGTTATCATGAGATTTTACAAAATCATCTCATCAATCAGGGACTGATCTGTTGTTCATTTACTGTTTGGGCAGTTTGCTTTCTTCACAGATGGAAACATCTTGTTTTCAACTGAATGGTGATTGACTGTCCCAGTGTAGGCTTCTGTAAATTGCTTCTCACCATATTGTTTATGGAAGATGTACTTTCTGTCTTAGTTGTCTAATGAGACCCATCCAGTGTGGTGTAACCTCATCATCTTCTTTGTGCATGCAAGCCCCACATCCATGTCAAGGTAGAGCCTCACTGAGGAATTATTGTTGTTATAAAAAATGAGAAATCACAGCTGCCATTTCTTTGGCTGATGTTAGTCTTCATACGCATTGAGTTATTCCCAAGAAGCAATGCTACTTCAATTACTTTGGAGATCTATTTTTTATGTGGCTAACCCTACCCTTTGGTATTATATTCTCTGTGTAGTCTACATTGGCCCAATCCTGTTGTCCTCCAGAAAAACCCTGAAGATCTGGCTTTTCAGCAGGCTTTTCAATGGGGTAATTTGTGACTTTATTTAGTTATTATTGCTTTATACTGTTGTTTCCCCATGATGGATAGTTTAATTTTTTTTCATTATAATTGGCTATGTTTATGCTGATTTTAAACTGTTTCTTATCTTTGAATGCCATCTAGAGTTCTTTTAGTTAATGAATCAGCTAATATTTTATATAAACAAACAAGCACTATTCTTGGTGTTTTGAGTTTATATTCTAGTAGTTCGGTTTTTAATTTTAAGACTTCATGCCTGATTTTATTTATTATATTTTATTATAATATGATGTATACAGCAACATGAAATAACAGCTGTCAGTTCTTTACATTGGCTTTCATTTGCATAAAATTCTTCACAAAAACTTAAGATGTTGTAATGTACTGGTGTACTTGAGGACTTCAATCTGCCTTCCTACAAATAGCTATGATAGCCATGAGCCTACCCCAGGTCATCTAGAGATGGGGCAGTGGTCACACTGCAGATCTGGTGTTCCTGTCAGAGCTATTATGTCATCAGGCCTGGAGCCCCCCAAAAATGAGACAGAATATTTAGAATGTTCCACCATTGAGGTTGATATACTCATTCAGTCTCTGCCTGAGGTTTGTATATATTTTAATTTTAATTAACTTCTAGTTTTTAATGTTGATTTTTTAAAATATATTTTAAATGCTCGTTTTTATAGATACAGTTTTTATTTGTTTATATAATCACTTCCACAGAGTCACTGATCATGAGATGGGCTGCTTTATAAATTTGATTAATAAATTCAATAAATAAAAATAATGAAATATCCTTCTCTGATAATATAAATGACACGAAGACCAGATGATAATTGGATTGAAGAAAACCCCATGTTGCATGTATATCAGCAGATCATTTTAAAATATGTATTACTGTCACTCCAACATTTATGGCAGCTTGTTTGACCCAATTACCTTTTTTCTATCTTAAAACAATGAGATGTATCCCCTCCCACCAAACAAGACTAATTTTACATAAGTAGTCCCAAACTGGATCTTTGACTCACTAAGCAACAAATTACATAATTATTCCCAAAATCTCTCTATGATGCAATATTTTGCCCAACTGAATGATACAAAGGATCAAACAACATGAGTGTTTTAGAGGTATAGATGTAAGATTGAAAGAAAGTTTCTCGAAATTCTAGGAATTATAATCATTACATTGAAATAATTTAAATACTGAAGTAAGATCATAAAATAACTTTTAAATGTCCCAAATGTCCCAAAGGTGATTTTCAAAGGCAATTGGATTTTGAGGTTTTTTTTTTTCCTTGAGAACAATTCGCTTTGCATCCAAGAAACTTCTTCAACAAGAAAATTCAGTTGCCTTTGAAAAGCACCTTTGGGACAACCATGACCTGGATGATTGATAATCTCTATAGATGTTTAACCTTCAAATACACTGGATTTAGTTGTTATTATTTAGTACTATAGAATAGTTGTACTGTAGCAAAGCTTCAGGGAATTTACATATTCATCCAGATAAAAATAATATTCATTTACACCTCACCATGTAGATGAAACATGCAAATTAAGTCTTCCTTCTTGTGACAAATAGCTGTCTTTTCTCTGTTTCTTTTGCTTATAGTGCAAATTGTTGTTTTTTTATCTTTTGGTCTAATTGTTTAGAGGGAAATATACAATTTACACTTCAAAGACTTGCTATAAATAATTTAGGAGTTGCGCAACTGCAAGAAAGTTAATATGATTTCCCTAAAACCCCAAAGGCTTTTTATTTATTAAAACAAGAAAGTCTTCATCTACAAATTTAAATTGGAAAACCAGCAAGCTTGCATTTGTTTAATCCTGTAGAATATAATCAGCTTGATCAGAACATCTTTTACAGGCAATTTGTACAGTTCAAAGCAGTGGTGAAATCCAAAATTTTTTACTATTGGATCTATGGGCATGGCTTGGTAGGCGTGGTGTGGCTTGGTGGGCGTGGCAGGGGAAGGATACTGCAAAATCTCCATTCCCACCCCACTCTAGAGCCAGCCAGAGATGATATTTGCCAGTTCTCCGAACTACTCAAAATTTCTGCTACTGGTTCTCCAGAACCTATCAGAAGTTGCTGGATTTCACCCTGGTTCAAAGTGTTTGCAATTGTAAAATTCCAGTATGTAAGGGGGCAGATTGCTAATATGCAGCTTGGATTTGCAGCTGATTATGTCTACAACTATCCTGTTACCTAGTACGTACTCTCCTGCTGCCTTACTACACAGTAATAATTATTTGTTATCAGCAATTTTTTCCTTACCTCTATCTGTCTTGGATCTTATCTGGTATTTTCTAGCTATCTTGTTCCATTGAAGAAAATAGACACACATAGTATTTAAGTTCTGATCTACTGAAAATATCTAAGGAACATAAAAATTGTCTGTCTTTCAATGATCAAACTCTGAGCTGATTTGTTTTATGATTTGTTTTCTTTGCAAGTCATGGCATTCTCTGCATGTCTTCTCTATCAGCAAAGTACAAAGCATCCATAATCTTTCTTTTCTGACAGACAGACAGACACAAACACACACACACACCGACACACACACACCAAGAAATTATGTTTCAATTCATACCCTACTATTATTTATTTGTCCCAAGTTAGATAACAGGAAAAGTCCTAGACATTTGCCAACAACCCCACCCCGCACCAATCATGGCAGATTGTTTTGCCAAATAAATAGAAATATGAGGTTAATTCAAAATGGCCATCAGCAGTCTTTATTGCTAATTTTTGTATGCTTCTGGGAGAAAAAGGCATCATGTTTGATTCCACAATTAGAAGACCAGCAAGGGAATAAATTTTGATTAAGAGCACTCCAAGTGCCAATGATTACTTGAAAAAAAGAGTACAAAAAGCATTCTCCCTGGCTTGAATTCCACCAGATAATTTATATATTTGTCAACTCTCAATAGCAGGGTGCTGGTTTTTAGCAGTTAAACATATAGGATACTGCTTGGACAGCCCTTGTGGTTAATTCATTATGTTAACAGTCTTTCATAATTTATGGATACAATGCAATTCCTGAGGTTTATAATATTATTTCACAATGATGGTAGTAATTGCCTAAATCTATTTGAAAAGCCTAAGGAAAATACCATTAAAATATGCATGATCAAACCATTCCTTTATGGTTTACTATTCCAAGCCTGCTATTTGATTATTCCAGTCATATTTTATTCACCAGAAATGTGAGCAGTTTTCATAGAAAATTTTGGTGAGTAAATGAATCTTGTTGCTGTGTAAAAAAAGAATCCTATGCATTCAAAATGCCCAGATTTGTTAAGTCAGTGTCATTCAAGCTAAATAAATAAATAAATATTTTTTATAAATAGTGTTCTGCTTACAGCCAATTGCACATCCTCACAAGTATTAGAAATAGTATTTTTCAGGCATTCATGTATTTGTGACATTCATGTCACAAATAACCAACACACTTGACACACATTCTTGAAAATCAATTGCAGCATATTGTTAGTGCATTGTTAATGCATAGAAAAATACTAGAATGCTATGAAATGTTCTCCTGCCCAGCTTTTCATATTTCCAGAGAACCACTAAAGTTCAACCCATTTGTTCATCCATTTTCTTGTCCAGACCAACTGGACAAGCATGAATTGTTTAGTAAGACTCATCTTACAACAAAACAAGATATTTAATTTTCTTTCATTTGATTATACATTATTTTCCAGAGTTGTTGAACTTTGCAACAATTGCCTCAAAATGGAAAAATAATCCAACTGGTCATTATATTTCCAATAATTTTTAGAGAATAATCTATCCATTTTAGCAATCATTACTGGAGTAATATTCCAATAGCAAACCAATTTATTCCAGTTTTCTCTAATATAGTATTCTCTAATATAATATTCAAAGTGAATTTAAGGTTATTTTTCTACTGCAATTCCTTGCTGCAATCCGTTATGGCATATCAATTATTCTATCCAAATTCTGATTTATTTATTCTTTAACATTTGTTTTCTGACTCATATTTCACCAACAGTTCATAAATAAGGCTCAGCAAATTTTATGGTACAAGCTTGTCAAATTCAGTCAAGTCTCCCTTGTTTTTGCAGTTCCCTTAAACTAAACCCATGCTGGTTTTTTGAAGATATTTAAAGCAGTTGAGAGATTCTGGCCATTCAAAACAGATAGAAAGATTTCATCTTCATTTTAATAACTAAATTTTGCTGGGTATAAGATTTGCTATTTCTCCACTGAACTAATTTCTTTCGGCTCACTTCACTAGTGAAGTGAGAGGCCGTAAAACTAACTTTATATTCATCCCAGACTTTTAATATGCTACATATTATTGCATTATATCTTATAAACTGTCTATTTATGTTTGTGCACTAGTTCAAAATATTTGTGCAGATCTTGGGAGTCCTGCTTCTTAACAGAGTTAACCCAACCAGAAGGTTGTTTAATTCCAATATGTCATTCAGATTAGTTTAATCTTATGATTTATTAAATCTATCTTTCTTTCACTTCCCTTTTCCCTTTGTTTATACAGTACTTCTCGCTTAATAATGGTAATTGAGACTGCAATTTCATTGCTAAGTGATGAGATCATAAAGCATGACATAACATGACCACATTGCTTAGTGATGGCAATCTTGGCAGTCCCCATTGCTGTTGATATAATTGAAGATATTGGTTCAACCACAACTTGCAACTTTCTGTTGGCTTCCCAACGCAAATCCAATGGAAAAACCACCAGGAAACTACACTTTCCAGGCAACTCACAAACAGGCTAGAGGGCAGGTGAGGACTAAAGAGTAAAATGGGGTTCTTGCTGTTTTGTGTGTTATGTGGGCTGCGGAGGTGATGTTCGGCATCACTTGAGTGATACTGCTTGAAGAGGGCATGCTATGGTTCTAGGCATCAGATAAAGAACTTCAACTAGCAGGGTCTACGAAGAAACACTTCTTTGCCATTGCCCCACATCCTGTGGAATATTCTCCCTCCCCCCCCCAGGTGAGGCAGGCCCACCCTCTCCTGACCTTCCAAAAAGGAGTTAAAACATGGTTCTGTAGACTTATATGGGGAGCCCAAAAGAGCTTGCAGTCGTGGGGCTGGTTGATGTCCTGTGAGCCCTCCTATGCCTTAATTAATTTTTTAACAGTTTAATTATTTTTGCCCCCTTTAAAAATTGTAACCCAAAATTTAATTCTAACATTTTAATGTTATATACCTTTTTATATTTTGATGTTTTACTGCCCACCATCATCTTTGACAGAGATGGAGGGTGCATAAATGTGATAGCTAGATAGATATTCAATTTTCACCAAAGATGAGATTCAAATCTCACCAAGCTCAAGGTTGACTCAGCCTTCCATCCTTTCAAAGGTAGGTGAAATGAGGACCCAGATTATAGGGGCAATAAGATGACTTTGTATAAATATACAAAAGTATGAAGGCTATTGCTTAACGCATTGTAAGCCACCCTGAGTCTCCGGAAAAGGGTGGCATATAAATTAAAGCAAAAAAAAAAAAAAAGATAGATAGATAGATAGATAGATAGATAGATAGACAGACAGACAGACAGACAGACAGACAGATTAAAAGAAAATAATCATGTTATATGAGGATAGACTCATGTGACTGGATGAAACAGAAATCACAGCAGCAAAGATGTTATCTTTAAGCAAAAAGAAAAAGAACAGAGGCAGTATATTAGCAATACCCATGTAGCTACAGATAAAGGCTTCTCTGGTTCTGTGGCAAAATGAAGATAGCAGGGACTCACAAATACGTCACCATAGCAATATCCATGACAGATAATGGCAGCAATAACCTCATTATTTGAGACTTTCTATGAACTTTTGTCAGTATTGGTTACTGTATCAATAGTTACTGAAACACCATAATCACCCTCCCCAACTTTCTACCACTATTCCTGCCACTGAGATTAGGAAATTGTTGTAATCGAAAATGACACTTCAGTGCTGAACAACGCAATTTAAGAGATGATTTGTAAAATATATATGATAGTGCTGAGAACTATGCTGACTCATAGCTAGAACTGCTGTGAAATATCATAAGTTATAAGCAGAATGCAATTCACTTAAAAGAATAAATTGATGTAATTTTTTTCCAGTCAATATGTTGCTCTGTGGAAAATCCAAAAGTAACTAAAACCACAAATCATCTTGATTATGTCACTAATTTATAATGTTGACCAATCTGGTCACTTGGTAATTAGTGTACATGTTTGCATATATGGCAGGAAAAATACTGTTTAGAATATTGATGGAAACACCATAGTATGATGTAATGTGGCCAAATTGGCTTTTTAAAATGTTAATTTATCAACTAACAAGTTGCTTTCAGCTTTGGATTGACATGGAGCTTTTATAGCCATGAATTATGGCTTAATGTGCTGTGCTAAACCAATTATAATTTATTTAACAAACTATAGTTAAAGTATGGTTTATTATAATGTGTTAAGACAATTTACTGATTTCAACTGAAAGATTTACTTCCGTAATGATTTTTTTTAATATCATCAAACCCTTGTTTCTTTCTACTTTATCTTATTTATTTATTTATTTATTTATTTATTTATTTATTTATTTATTAGTCCAATTTATATGCTGCCCTTCTCCATAGACTCAGGGTGTCTTACAATGCATTATAGCAATAGCCTACATACTTTTATGTATATACCTGCTTATTAGGGCTTTTGGCCCCCCCTAAGCGGTGTTGTTATATACAAAGCTGGCTTATTGCCCACCACAATCCGGATCCTCAATTTACCTACCTCAAAAGGATGAAAGGCTGAGTCAACCTTGAGCTCGCACTAACTGAGATTTGAACTCGCACTAATTGCAGACAGCTGGCAGCTAAGTGCTAGCACTTAACAGCACTTAGTCCGCTGCATCACCAAGGTTCTTAAATCTTAAAGTTTGAACCTACCTAGAATGCATGAAACTTTCTGAATGTAGATATTTATCTTTTCTTCTCTAATTTTAACAATTTTCTATATAATTGTGATGACTTACTTAATGCTTACAAGTGGTTCTCCAGTTACAACAGCAATTGGGAGTGGAATTTCCATCACTAAGTGACACAGTCATAAAGCATGACATCACATGACTACATTGCTTAGCAACAGCAATCCTGGCAGACCCAGTTACCATTGTAACCCCAGAACTCTGTAGGGCATCAAATGGGAAGAGGTGGAGTCCCAGGTAAGGAGGCCAGTGGGTACATGGGTGTTGTAGGGGCAAGGGGGCACTGCAGGCAGGCATAATGAAGCATGTGCCATGCACATGTTGTGCGTGGGGGAGAGTGCCATGGGAAATGAGCCATAGCAGGCAAAAAAGAAGTGGGAGTGGAAGTAGCTTCAGGCATCCTGCCAGCTTCTTCATTGACTTACTTGTGGCAAGCTAGCAGAAAATCTTTATATTGCAATCATGTGACCAAAGCTTGCTGCAGCTCGTGGAACTTCGACCACCATTTTAACTTTGAATACTTGCTCAATAATAGTTGTCACTCAAGGCCTACTTGAATTAGATATTTTCATATTAATTAAATATTAATTAAATCATGTGATCTATATAAACTATAAAACTATTTTTATTTATGCTGTTATTGGGTGTAAAAATATTAAATAATAACAACATTAACCATTAAGTACATGTATAATTGTAAAACTTAGGTTTTTGTATAGCTATTAGAGTTCTCCATTAGTACTGAACCAATATCCTTAAGATTATTTTGAAGATGATGGAATCATTTAATTGGTGAAAGATTACATTATTGCCCAAAATATTGTTGGAAAATCCTTGCTTGCCCACACAAAACCAACAATTCCATATGAGGTGAACTAGCTTTGTATGTTTTTTTTTAATTCAATAAAAATATTTTAAAAAAAGAAAGAAAAGAAAAAATCAGTCCACCATCTTCAGAGATCAATGGTAAAATCACATGCAGATCAGAAGATCATATCAGGTGAGTGATCACAATATCCTATCATCTTCAGGTCACATTTCTAATGTGAAAGTACCGGTAGGTAAAGTATATGATCACCTGCATGGATTGCACCAGATATCAGTAATGACCCGCCTCTGTCATCTTCAAGACAAATTCCACTCAAGGCAGTATGAGATTGAAATTTTCCAGCCCTATCAATCTGGAATCATGCTAATAAGATTCAGAAGCTCAGTTATGGATAAAAGCAAAAATAGGCCAATAAAAACCACACCCAGTTTCATCTAATGGTTAATATAATGGTTATATATTCATCATGAGTTTTTCATGCAATATAGAAAACATCTTCTTAAGGTTATGAAATCTGTAAAGTCTATGAAATAATATTGTAATCTGTATGTGCAAGTACAAATCTCCATATAAATCACAAAAGTTCTGACAGCCTAAATTAAGAGGGAGAAAAGGCTTATTGCTCAAATTAGAAATATTTTATTTATGAAAAATCATGCAACAATGTATCAATCTATTCATTTCTATTTATTTTTCTATCCTGAATGATTTAAATATCCCTGAGGTGTTGGTGTATTACAGTACAATTCACAGCACAAGTAATAGGAATTTTATCAACTAAACAATGTGCAACAGTGTACACTATGAATATTTGTTTTAAATGCCTATATAGGATAGGTTCTTGCTGTAAGAAATCCATGAATTACAGCATTTAAGTACAGAATGTGATGAACCAGACTTGCAAATCAGAAAATGAATATTAATGAAATGCTATATATAAAAGACATGATTAGTGGGTTCATATTCTTCAGAATTATATTTAAGAAAAGTTGAAGTGAAACATATTAGAATTGTAGGCAAAAATATATGCTTCATTTAGAGAGATACTCTGAGCTTTTTGTTTTCAGTCTGATGTTCCTTTTTGCAATAACCAACTTCTTATTTAAAATAAATCTTTGTGGAACAGAAGTATGTAATGTTTATGATTTGGTAGATAATTAGAACAGCTACTGATAGAACTTTATTTCATTAATCTATCTATTGGAATAAATTGAATTTTCTAAGTTCTACTTGTATAGTAGCATGGACTTGGAAGTGATTATGGATTTTCCCTTCATTAGTTTCAGATTTGTATTTGATGTCAACTAATCTCCCTGTGAGTTCTGGTAGCCAGACCTATTGGTGGAATAATGCAACTTTAACACCACCATGGCCTCATTCCAGACAATCATAATAATAATTTCTATCACAAAGCTGTTTTTCCTTTTTTCAAGATAGACTATATTTGATCATTCACAATATTAGTTTAGTTTAGTTTAATGCAATTTATATTCTGCCCTATCTCCAATGGACTCAGGGCAGCTCACAACAATAAAATGCACAATTGCACATTAAAACAATATAAAATTAAAAGTCCAAATTAAAACAATTTAAAATCTATTTAAAATCTATTAAGAAAACCCTCCCATCAGTCCAGGCTGCAAAACAGCCAGGTCTTCAAATCACAGCGGAACGAGCGAAGGTCAGGGGCCATCCGGAGCTCCAAAGGAAGTTGGTTCCAAAGGTTGAGTGCGCCCACAGAGAAAGCTCTCCCCCTGGGGGTCGCCAGCCGACATTGTCTGGCTGACAGCACCCTGAGGAGGCCCTGTCTGTGGGAACGCACCGGGCGATTGGAGATTGTTGCTGGCTGCAGGGGGTCCTACAAATATCCTGGGCCTAGGCCATGAAGGGCTTTATAGGTAATAACCAGCACCTTGAACCTCACCCAAAGGGCAACCGGTAGCCAATGCAGGTTGCGCAGGAGGGGTGTAACATGGGAG